GAGATTACTTGTTTTAATTTCAGGAGATACTGAGGGAAATGAGTCAGTACCTATAGTTTTCTTTTACAGTGTATCAGAATTCACAGCATTGTTACTTATGGGAAGCAGTTTTAATAGCTTCAAAGCTAATTAATATAAATCAATTCAGAGTACTGCAGAATTTATAAAGAAACCGATTTACTAATAAGCACATCTTGACGATGTCATTAGACGTGGTTTCTGGCTTCCTTAAAGTTTCATTTTGTTTTTACTAGACCCGTCCTAATTAGACATATCCGTGGGTAACGGCGTGAAATTCTGGTTGCTGTACACATTCAGCAAGGATGAAATAATGTTATCAGCACCCACCGCCTCTCGCACCTTCCCACTTCTCTGCAGTGAGAACACTTAGAATACTGTCTTCTACTTACCTAAACACACACCACGTACTGTTAGTTATTCACCCGACTGTGCGGGTGAACAGCAGCGTGGCTTCCTCCTGTTGTCCACCCATCTCTCCCTGTCACCTCCCCTAGTCCTCGCTACTGTACTGGGTCTTCCTATGAGTGAGCTCGTACACTGGTTCTGATGCCAGGAGCTGTCCATGGCCTGCCGTGTGTACACTAGGCAAGTCACCCTAGTGACCCTGTGAAGCAAGACTGTGGACAGGGCAAATGCTACAGTCCTGGACCCCAGGGCACGGTGGGTGCTCACGCCTGCCTTGGAAATCATCTCACCAAGTTACGGCAAAGAAACAGAGGCAGAGGCAGGGCATGATCTGAACAAAAACTAGAATGGTGCTGAAAACAGTTGTTACAAGAACCAAGAACTTCTCCAAGTTTAATGCTGCTTTTATGATAAAATACAACATGCCTTTCTTCCAAACTGGAGAGGAGAAAGGGGAAGAAGGGAGTGGTTGGAGAAAGAGAGAGACGAAAGGGAGAAGGGAGAAGAGGAAGGGTACACAGCAATGATTTTCACAGCTCCATTCTTAGATACATCAGCCAGATTCAAAAGCGGGCAGACGGAGTCCAAGAACAGAGGCAGGGATTCAAGCTCTCGCTAAGCTCCAAATGCGCGACGTCTTATGGTCATCTCTGGAAATGTCTTCACCTCTAGAGACTGCCACGGTAGAAGCCATGTTTCCACATATTTAAAAACTGGGCAAATGACAGTCATTAAGGAGGGTAACCCTCCCTAGCTGTCTCCTGCTGCTGGGCAATACGATAAGAAATATATTCAGTGCTTCTTGCTCTCCTAACAATTCTACCTCCTCATTCCTCAGCACCGGGGGTGCGAATTCCCGAAGGCCACCACCCCATCGGACGTGGGAGGTGGGACTGGCTCTCTGCTCCCTCCCAGTCTGGGGCTGGGCCCAAGTTCTGTCTTTAACAACGAGCAAGGACATGTTTTAGATTCTGTGGCGAATCAGAAGATTTCAGTTTTTGCAAACATTTTATTTTTAATGATTCTGTAGCAAGACATTTCTTGAGAAAATAAAATAAAAATCAGTAGCTTGCACAACTAGAGAAAAGAATAGAATTCTACATTTGGGGGTGTGTTAGAATGGATTTTATTTGATTCCCACAATTCTGTGGCACAACTGGGAAGATGACTTTCCCATGTTACAAATACAGACACTGAGAGCCAGAGAGAGAGTACTAACCGATGTAGCAGAAGGAGATACAGGACGAGCCAGGCGTGGTGGTTTACACCTGTAATCCCAGTACTCTGGGAGGCTGAGGTAGGAGGATGGAAAGTTTGATCCCAGCCCTGGATAATGTAGCAAAACCACGTATCAAAATAAAAAGCAAATTTTGAAAAGGGGCTGATAAATAGCTGAATGGCAAGGCCCTGAGTTTAATCCGTGGTACTGCAAACAAAAGAAGTATAGAATAACCAGTTAAGTTCAAATTTAAACACAAAGCAGTGTTTTAGAAGAAGTATGTCCCAACCACTGCATGAGGCTTACTTATGCTGATTGGACCTTCACCGTTTACCTGAGACTTCAATCTGAATGGACATCCTTTATTTTTTCTGGCAGTCCTGAAGTGCCCAAAGCCGACAGGTCTCACGGGCCTGTCACTGCCCGGGACCATGGCTCAGGCACAGTGAAAGCCTACCGCATCTCCGCGACAGCCTCCCAGCCAACAGACTACGACCTCGACTGCGTGCTTTAGTGTCTCTCATGACGACAAAGCTGGACGTAGTTACTCCAGCTGATGCACTGTTGCGGACCTGCCTACAGTTTTTTTATTTTTAGAGCATTTCCCACCGTATTATCTCATTCAGCACAAAAACCCACAGGTGCCACGCTGAGGAGTTATCATTGTTCTGTGTTTTCCAGACTTGATAAGACGCCCTGGCAAATCAGCACGTCTACCCAAGTTCTCAGTGCTGCTAGGGAGGTGTCCGCTGGAAGCCAAACCGCACATGTGAAAACCCAGTTAAGTGGTGGCGCGTGCACTGTTTCTACTGGTTAAGATGATAAATACACGGAAAGACCACCTTCAACTTTCGGTTTGACAGGCAGGAAGCAGGGACGAGCCACTCTATATTGGCTTGCATCAAAATGGTAAAATCAGAGGGGAAATGTGATGCATTGAGAATAAAAAGTGTTCCATTTTCAAGTCTTTAAGTCTGAAAGTGTTCAATGTGTTGCAAGTATGTCTCAGTATAAACAGAAACACATTCTCCCACTTCTAATACTGCTGTCATGCTTTTGCTGGAGACTTGATTCTACTCCGTCACTACTGTCATGAAGACCAGCTCAGCAAAGGAATCACTGACACCGCATGAATGCCCCACGGCAGTTGGGGGGGTCTTTGGAAGAAGCCCCAATACATAGCAGGTAAGTGCACTGGGGCTGATGGCCCTACGGTGTGGTCCCCCAACACACCTGCTGCCCCCAGGCTAAATGCAGGTCAGGCGCTTGGGCCCAGGCTTATTTCTACAGCTCAGGCTCTGACAGGACTGTGTGGATCTGAAAATCTTCCCAAGGTGAAGGAACAAATGTCAATACCCTGACTAGGGTTAAATTACTTACAGCCATCCTCCCGTGCTTAGCGTTTAAAATACGCAGATTATAGAAGATGGTTTAGGAGTAAGTGTTACTTGTACAAATACCCTCTTTGGGATGCACCCAGGATGCAGCCCTCCTTCCCTTTGGCCGTGTCTGCAGTGGGCTCTTGGTCCCTGCACCTCCTTGCTTTCCCCGCTCTTTCTGTCCTGCAGCCCTTCTTCCTCTCCTTCCTTCATGTCAGCTACTTCTTTCTGGTGCAGGGCTCTTCATTTCTCATCATTAGACTGATTTTCCCTGACACTTTTCCTCCTTCCATCAATGGTTCACATGTGGAATTTTATAATGAGGTAATTTCTTAAGGATTCGAAAGTAACCTACTGCTCCTAGTTATTGATAAATGTATTTCATTTGCATTTTATTGGGTAGAAACACGAGGAGTTTAAATTCTATGGTTTTTAATTGTATTCAGAAATGTTAGAATTTTGAGGCTTAATATAATAGGTTTATTATATGATGCATGAATAGTGTTGCTTTTCTTTTTTATATCTTATAAATTTAATTTAAAAATTTCTTTATATGTAATATGCAACGTTAATAAAGTAACAGAAGTCTTATAAGTGTTGAAGTATAGTGAAAAGTATTTCTATAAGAGGAAAATTCTACTATTAAGATCATTACCTATGTGATAATTTTTCCTACATCAAATGACAGTATCTTATAATAAATCATTTAATACAGTATTTAGTACAAACCTAGCCTTTCCTAGGGTACTGGATTTCTATTAAAAATAATTACCATTGTATCTGTGTTTAGGTGTTTGTGATCACAAAGACCAATAAAGTCTCTACCTAATGTGTGTACTAGTCAGTCTCAAGACACCTAGATACTGTTGTCTATTACCGTTACAATACAAAGTTTTCTTACAATACAAAGCTTAATACAATCTACTTCTTATTTCAGTCCTTTTTACTATAAATAATTCAATTTACTAAGCATGTTTAGGTAATCCCAATCTCAAAAAATAATTTCCCTATATAAATTTATACTGTGTCCACCAAAAACCAAATTTCCTAGAACATTTCCAAAAAGACAGGTCAAGCCTTTGAGCAAAACAATGCATTTTGTACCTGGCAACTCGTTCAGCAGATGAAAGAGTTAAAAATACCAACAAACATTTCACTGGAAGTATTTTAATGGGTTCTCACGATGACCTTGTGATTAACTTTCACTTTTGCTATAGAAATCACGATTTCTCTTTATTCTCTTTATAAAAGAGGATTAAAAGATGCTGTTTTAATTTCTAAATATATTCATCTTCACCGAAAACTTATCATCAGTGAGCTGCCCAGAATTCACCCTTCTTCACACAAAAAGGGGGCTGGGGATTTAGCTCAGCGGCAAAAGCACGTGTCTGGCAAGCGCAAGGCCGTGAGTTCGGTTCCCGGTACCGGAGAAAAACAAAAAAAAAACAAAACAAACAAACAAAAAAAACCCAAAACACAAAAAGCTCAGTTTTTCTAAGGATTTCATCTTATTTCTTGTTATACTCATTCTAATAAATCCACATTTACTGATTAAGACTAAGTGTTAACACTTCTGTTATAAATTACAAGTACGGGCTAGAACTGTGGAGAAGTAATTGTGCTAGTTTCTAAAAACTTCTCTACTTTCTCTACTGTGACTCATGCCTTGGTCTATGCTGAACATTTGTGCTGTCACCTCAGAAATATTTCAGGACTCGCCTGAGCTCTGGTCCCAGGTTCTCACTCGGTCTCTCTGCAGTTCTTGCCTGGTGGGGCTGTGGGTACAACCCCTCCAGTAGCATCTTAGGAGTCTGGTTATGGGTACTCTGTTCATTTTGGAGTCATATAAGTGGGTTTTCTTTTCATTACAGAAGTAGCGTGCTATGGTCATCCTACAGTGCAGGAGAGCGTTCACAGGAAACACTGCAGCTGGAACTCACAACTGCATCTGATAGTCATCGAACCTCTCAACTTACCTGGGTAATAGCGGGCCAGGCCGGTAGCACTGCCAAACACCTGCCACAGCAAGGTAGGGTCCTCTTCTCGGTTTTTTTTGAAAACTTCATCTAAGGCACTTGTCCAGTTGAGTTCATTCAACACTATTGTTGCTAATAAAAAAAGAAAAAAATCCATTCATTCAAACTTATAATTGAAAATTGAGTATCTTTTCACTTTATTTACATAATAATACGATCATACTCTCCATGTTCTACCTAAAAAAGCACTGTAAACTCAATGGTTATCAAAAAGCCTGAGATGTAGAATTACTTTTTCAAACAAAGCTTTCCATGATGGTGATGCTATTGACATTCTGGTCTGCATGCAGCTTTGCAAGGAACTGTCCAAAACAGCGGGAAAGATCATCCTCACCCACCAGACCGTAGGGCCATCCCACAGCTGTGACGGCAAGATCCCTGCAAGACGTTGCAGACGGTCCCAAGGGCAGAATCACTCGCATCTCAGAACCATCAAGAGCTATGCTAAGACATAAAACCAAAGCCGCACTGGGCGCTCTCCCTCCTTGATCTTAGAAGCAGTTTAGACTTGTTAAAAGACCCAATCATTTAAAAAAATATTAGTACCTATTTGCAGAACTAATGATTACAGTTGTTCTGGGGAACTGAAACTAACATAAATTGATCTATTCCCAGGATTTTAAAAAATGTTTCTCGGGGCTGGGGATTTAGCTCAGTGACACAGCGCCTGCCTGGCAAGTGCGAGGTCATGAGTTTGATTCCCAGTACCAGAAAAAAAAGTTTCTCATTGAGCATAGCTTATTAACAGTCCTTATACAGTAACAAAAAATGTATATAGTTTGATAGAGGAAAACATCCTTGAGAGGCTTGATAATATCAGTGTTAGAAAACCAAACTAAGTGACACTTTATCCATAACTTTCAGAACAACAGTTTTGACTTCTGTTTTGCTTCCCTGATTATTCCGTTAATAACACATGATGATAATAATGGCGAGGAGATTGATTTTGATCCCTATTTGTCAACACTCGTTGGACTTTACACATGCTGTTCATTACAATGAAAGAGAAGCCATTATACCGTGGGGTGCAACTTCAGCTCAAATCTGCGGTATATAATTTATAATAATGGGGCACCATCATCATAGCCTATGAAGTCCAACACACTAAAAGTGTAACAGACACAGAATACAATTTTCCCTGTACTCAAAAAGATGGAACATATAACTTCCTATGTTCTTTGTTTTTATGTGTAAAAACAGGAACCACGGAACTAGTAGGTGAGCAGGTTGGGCTGCTCCGAATTTGGGAAATTCAGATGAAACCTAAACAGTGTATGTGTACTTGGGAGAAGGACTGGAGACAGCTCTGCTTTCTCCTGTTCGTTACTGTGATCACCATCACCATTTCAGCCATGCTGAAATCTCACACCATCTTTTCTATATTCAAAAGGATAGAGAGAGCTTGTGAAGAAAGATGAAAAGCACAAGTATTCATAGTTAACAGTTTGAATCATTTACCAAGAAAGCAAGCCACACAAACAAGCGGACTGGAACACTGGTGCTGGGCAAGTATCCTGATGTGGTTCTCATTACCGAAAGTTAACGAGATTGTCATCTTCACAGACGTGATTACTTTCAGAAAGATCAGCTGTGTGTGTGTGAATATTCATGAGCTGGGCCATATCCACGGTGCCACGGAGATACTGGAAAATCCATATTCAAGAGCACGATCCAATGAACACTAAGGAGCCAGTTATATGAAAATTTATATTCACACAGGTAACCTGCACTGATACTCATCATTCATGAATATTTATACTAATATGCAAAACATCATAGAAAAAGATGGACATTATTTTTCTTTTAACATTCATGACTTTTATAGCAATAACCTACTGAACAAACAATGATGTTTATTTGTGCTCTAGTTAGACTTCATTAATCCCCAATCTATTCTATCTCTTGAATTTCCTTGACTCTCATTCACACAAAGCAACAGCAGACAGCTAATTACTTTTAATAAATTTTTATTTGTTTCCAGAGATGCTAATGTTTTTTCTTAATTTTATTTGATAGCTGAACAATTAGTACCAGGCACTGATACACTGATTGTGAATCCTGCTATTGTGTACTTGGTAAAAAAAAAAAACCAGCTCTGAATCACTCCTACTGTCAGGAAAATATATTATAAAACCTGCAGTTCATACATTTAAAAACACTTTTTCAGATAAAAAATCTCCATTCCATACCCTTGAGAATTTTTTTTGGACAAACTAAGGCAGATTTCAAAATATCTTCCCTGAAATGTGTTCGTCTATGAGTGGGTACAGTACAGAATGAATATAAAGCCTCGGCTCCTGAACTGATTTGAAAGGTTACACAAAATGAAGGAAATTGTATTGTGTGATGAGCACATCATTAAGGTTTACGAACTTGGTGATACTCAGTGTGTAGCAGGGTGGCAGAATACAGAGCCTTCCCTTGTTGGTGTAAGCAGTCTTCCGTTAGTCACAGTCTTCGTACAGAGGATCTGCCATGGGACTTCAGAACCAGCACAACCTCTTCGGAGGACTGTCCATGTGCACTACTGAAATGCAAACGGCCCTTAACCCAAGTGTTCCACTCCAAGGGACTTCAACTACAAGGCGAGCGTGGGGCTGCAGGCCCTGCTCAGAGAAGTTTAAGAGCAAGAGTCATTCTCTTCTCTTTTTTGCACTCTTACAAGAGTCATTCATTTAATTACAGCATTTAAATTCCTTAAAGAAACAAAAATCAAGAAAGTAGGGTAAATTACTATGATTGAATTTTTTCTTAAAGCAGCACAAAATGTTAAGAAAAAATGTATAAAGCATAAAACCAAATAAGAAAGCAATAGGAACGCTACTTTAGATCCCTTATTATTTAGCTATATTTTTCTGAGCCAGATTATGAATTATCTTTGACTAATATGTGTGTGTGTGTACAGATAGATATGTATATATTATTTTAGTAATGTGAGTGAACAGACTTTTCTTAAATCACATACAATTAAATAGCTTGTCCAGCTTTACTAACGTGCCCAACATGTCTCCATCTCGATGCTATGGATGTAGTCAGGGTAGATAACACTCAGACGACTGGGCAAGCCTCTGAGGATGAGGCAGACGAAGCACAACCCCAGCCACACGAAAGCAAGGCTGTCCTTTCCTGGATGTGAAAACTAAACTGGCCACTTGGCCATATTTAAAAACCCACAAAATATCAGACTCTCTAAATTTGTAAATAGAGTTTACTTAGAAAGTTTTTTTTTTTAAAGTCACTATTCTGGTTAGAAATGAGAAAAAATCCAAGTGTACTAGAAAAGTTAATAGCTGTTATGAGGACAGCCTTTGTTTAATATTATGAGGAGTATAGGGGGCTATGATATTTCTCTCCTGTCAGCAAGTATTTTTAATGTGTACTATTTTCCAAAATCATAATTCTTAAAATAAAGGGTATAAAAAATATTTCTCCCATGATGGAAAAAATTCACAAAATCTAATCCTCCAGGCAATTACTTCTTTTAAAGGAAATACTACTTGAGATTATGAAACTATTATTCAGTCACCTAAAGACTCTACATGAGAAAAATATGTATAGAATTCTGATGCATTAATGTTCCACAGATTAAAAAGCTCTCATTTACCACCATATATTATAAACACTTCAAAATGCAATTATTATTCTGCAAGTCAGAACCTTCAGTTGAATACCCAGGGCAAGAAATCAAAATTCAAAGCCCTGTCAAATAGTTTTTAACATAATAATTTCATAATAAACTATTTTTTAAAATTTCAGATAATTCTTGACCACAAATAAAACCACCACTACTTTGACAGATATTTTATCCATGTGGGTTGTACTTTTACTTTTCTGCAAGTATGTTGTGTCTTACATTATCAGTCATATGCTGGGTATGATACTATATTATATTTACAACTGTCTCCTTTTCCCCCATACCAAAAAAAAAAAAAAAACACAGTAATGTCTTCCACTCACACAAATTTGTGATTTCTTGCTTGAAATGAGATGGGAAATATTTGAGTGTATTGTTGCAAAGACTAACTGATCAAAGCCCCTTTAGCCTTCGGTTGCTAACCAACGCAGCTAAGGATGTTCCAGCTACATTGAAAGTAAAATTCACTCCCATTTTCTATCACCTTTTACAAAGTGGAAATCTTTATCTGCTAGAGAATTGTATTTTGCAAAAATTAAGTCCTTTATAGCTGTTCAAGGCCAAGCCTACTGAAAGCAGAGAATACGTGGAAAGAAATCCTTGACTCTGGGGCCCCTATTCTGACTGGCGTAACAGATTTCACTGTTAATGGACTCAAAATGCCAAGCATCCACCTCTATTCTTCACATGCTGAGTTTCCGAAGACACAGGCTTGGCGCTCAGGGATCGCTCTTCAGGAGCCTCCCATTGTTGTCTGGCTTCTCAAGGGAAAGAAAAAGAAAATCTAATTTGTAACAGCACAAAAGAAGCATCTTACATTTGCTGTTAATTCTTCAAAAAACCCATGACTCTTCTACCTGTGTACTGTGTATGACACATGATACAGAATCGCTGATGAGCTGTGAATTTAATTTTCTGCTGAAAACTTCAAGCAACAAAATGATGCATTATTGCTGCCTGTTTTCTTTGAGTTAAGTTGTATTAAGCGTCATCACACTGTATTGATTTATTCACTGCTCATGGGAGGCTGCGTATAGCTACTGGAAACCTTCCCTACTTTGCGTAAGGTCAGCCTCTGCTTTCTACTTTGGACAGCTTTCCTGAGAGAGAAATGACCGACATTTAAAAAGTATGTGTTTTAAAATGTAAGACTGGACGTGCTGACATGTAGATAAATTGTGAAACAATGACCACCCTCAAGCAATTTAACCTATTCCTTATTCTACATAGTTACCATTGCGTGGAATCTGTCCTCTTAGAAAATTACAGACATACAATATTGCTAAGTCTGCTCACCACGCTGTGCATTAGTTCTCCAGAATTTTCTGATTTTGTGTAACAAACCTTGTACCCCTAACTACAGCTTTCTAATGAAACAGATATGGCTAGAAAAGAGAGAAAAAAATTACAGTTCACCTCACATATATAACAAACTAGG